AATTTCAAAACCTGATAGATATGATTTTGTTTTGAGTAAATTTAGGTATTGCTTCTTACAGAGTTTTAAAAATAATTGATAATAATTAAATTTTAATTGTGAAACAGTTTCAATTTTATATGTATGTATATAGACATATAGACAAACTTAGGCACTATACCCATGGTAATTACTCTGAAGGGTAGCTTTTTAATTTTAATTATTTTAAAGCTGCCATCAATTCTTTGACATAAAAATGAACCTGTTGGGGCTGGGGCTATAGCTCAGTGCCTGCCTAGCATGTGTGAGGCACTGGGCTTTAATCCTTAGCACCATATAAAAATAAATAAAATGAAAGCATTAAAAAAATGAACCTCTTAGTAAAATATATATTTACATAATATATATTTATATAATATTATTTATAATATAAATTTATAGGTGTAAATATATATGTATATATGAATGACACACAAGTATGGAGATAGGGAATATCTCATTTTATTATTATTCAATTTAAAAATAGGGAAAAACTATTGTTAAATGAAATGTGAAACCAAAACTGCATCTAGAACTTTTCTTTCAAGTAGGTTAATATCTGTACTTACAACATTTTCTCCTGCATCTGATCCCAATATTATTTTATTATTTTTCATAGCATTGGCTCTCCCAGTCTTCCTTCTCTGGTGCAGACCTCCTGCACTGTGAGAAACTGCCTTTTGTTAGAATCCTTGTGTGTCCTTTACCTGGAGAAAGCTCTTTATCTAGTCCTTACTTGGGGTAGGTAAAATGAGTGTTACCAGCTTTGGCCCAGCAATTGTTTTTTCCTCTCAGATCTTGAGTCCCTTACAGGAGAAAATTTCTAGCAAGACAAAAAAAATTGTAGAAGTATAATAAAGTTTATTAGAGAAAAAGGAAAATACTTTTTCCAGAGAGAGAGAGAGAGAGAGAGAGAGAGAGAGAAGTTCCTCCCAAAGAGTAGAGGGATGCAGTGATCCTTTGTTTCCTAATTTCACTAGGGATCTTAGGGAAGTTTCTAGAGTATCCCACCCAAATACCATATCTCAGCTTTTAACTGACAGTTGGATTGTCTTAAAGTCCCTACTGCACATGCTTTTACCCACAGGGACCCAAGTGAAACTCACAGGGAAGGGTAATTACTATTATAATAGGATTAAAATGATATGTCAAATATCTAAAGGCAACTTTTAGTTGCCTTGGCCTGTTCTGACTGGTTCTGATTAGAACTTGTTTTTCAGATTTTATAGTTGATGGTCTTTGCTTTTAATTATCTCATTTTTCTGAGTGTTGGAATCTTTGGTCTGTGTGAAGGTCAGAAAACTCCCCCTTCAGAGTAAACTATATTCTTATCACCAGGGAAAAGTCTTACCTTCCTCCAGATAACAGAGTGTTTGCTGAGGAATGTAACAGTATCCTATTGACTTAAGCCAGAGCAGGACCAGGATGGCCTTCAGTAAGTTGCTCTTTGGTATTGTATTGCTTTTTAAGAGAAAGCATGTGGAATGCCAGTAGGTAGCACCACTTTACAGAATTATTGCCTTAACCTCATGTCCCACTAATATTCATGTCCATCTGCTACCTATCGTCAACACCAGCCCTGGAAGACCTACAGACACACTTAGGCACTGTGTCCATGGAAAATGAAGGAAAACTTTATAATTTTAATTTTTAAAGTAGCCATTTAATTCTTTCATCTAAAATATAAACTGTCAGTGAAGACAGTGCAATGTGATTTGGTATTATGTAGATTATAATTTAAAGATTTTATTTAATATTACGTAGACAGAAGCTTTGGCAAATTAATTTTATGTTTTATTTTGGGAAATTTGGACAGCAAGTGAGCTGACACTGGTTGAAATATTTTATAAATCCTATTTTTATTTCGATTATTCCTATATGAAATTTTAGGTCTTATTATTTCTTAGATCAACCTGTCTAAAAAGTACCTTAAAGGAAAGGGTGTTTTTACTAATTGTATGCTTTTATTTATTTATTTCTTTATTTTAATTTTTTAAAGTTGTTGATGGACCTTTATTTTACTCATTTGTGCTGAGCCACAATAAATTCTCTGCCTCTGAGAATCGAACCCAGTGCCTCATGCATGCGAAGCAAGCGCTCTACCACTGAGCCACAACTCCAGCCCCTGTATGCTTTTAAATACACAATATATTATGTTTTATAACAACAGCAGTTTTTGAAGTCTTTTTTATCCCATACCTGGATTTACCAATTAGATAATTCTAATCTTCCATGTAAATAAATCTAGTATTATCCTCTTAAGAAAATGTTAAAGGGTTTTATGGGAAAGGATTCTCTTTTCTGCTAGGATTTGATACCTAAGGTGTTGTAACCTGAGGGAGTTAATATCTACCATCTCAGTGCATATAATTCATATATAAATAAAATGCTAATACTTAAAAATCTCCCCTGAATTTTCTGCTCTTTTGTATGACTTTCCTTACAGTTTCCATCGTTTTTCTAGTACTCTCACATGGTAACAGTACTCTGTCTGGTTATCCCAAGAGCATTGACTTAGAGTAAAAGCCTAAATTCACAGTAGAAGTAAGTGCCTGCTGCTTTCTTATGAAGCTTTTCATTGCCAAAACAGATGAGATGAGCACTTTGATCTCATCTTTCTGTAGTAGTTGCAGTGGCAAGATGACGATTTCTACAGTTGCACAGAACAAGTAAAGAAATTCCCTAAAGAAATAAGAAAAAGGATAAATGGGCCTGGGGACTGGAAGAACTATGGTATCTTCAGTGCTTTCCAGGGTGTGTGCTTCAGGCCATCACAATACATTTCTTAATAAATCTAATTATAGAACAACTCAATATGCTTTACTCCCATTATTACTCTCTTTATATCCCACTTCTAATTTTGTTGTTGTTGTTGTTTTAACCATTTTTTTATTTCAGAGAACTTTGGAAGCATCAAAAAGAAAACAATACACACACACACACACACACACACACACACACACAAAATACCCAAGCTGAGGAAGGGAGCATGTTTTAAAGAAAAAGATCACTACTTCATGGTTGTTCATTGTTCAGCCCTTTTTGTGGTTCAGTCATAGTGATTTTTATTAAAAAGTAAAACTAGAGCTACACCTTCGATTAATGCTTGGATGTAAAGTGCATGCTCACATTTCTAAGGTGATGATCATTTGTACAACAGTAAAGATTTATTTTCTGTAAGTACATTAAATATGTATATGCTTTTTAGTCTGAATTTCCAGTCGTTTTTAGTAATTTACTTGTAAGTCACCTGAAAGTTTATATTATTTTTTGTTGATACATGATGAAATTAATTTAAATGGAGGAATTAAGAAACAAGCCTTCAGCAATAGTGAACTAGCCAAAACATACACATTTTTATCTTTCTGTATTTACTCATAATTTACCCATCAAGTTTTCCATGTAAGTCAAATATAAACTTTTTAACATTAAGGACAAAAAATAACCAAGTTCATATAAACTCTATAGTAATTTCTTTCCTGGACCCTCAATAAATGTCTCGAGGAAAAATAAGAAAGAAATTAATATACAGTTTATAGATAAAACAAGAAATACAAAGAATATGCCAGGAAAACAAAACAAAGTATTAAATCACACACACACACACACACACACACACACACACATACACACACATACACACTAAGGAAACAGCATAACAGAATATTTCAGATACCACTATAGTTGTAAAAAATTTTTCACATTAATTTTCACATAATTAAGCAAGTTAGTTATGTGATGATGAAGTTGCACTCATCTCTTCTGTTAGAAAGTTGTCTTAATATTGTTTTAAATGATTAATATGCATATATTTATAGACTAATCAGAACTATTAGCTCTGTATCTGTTAGAAGGAAAAGTAAATAAAGTAGGAGTAGGTAAGTGGAGAGGTGAAAGTTGAATTTTATAAGGTAGCCAAGAATGTCTACTTTTACTACTACAGGGACATACCCTGCTATTGGAGACAAGGAAACAAAAGGTGTTGTGGCCTGCTTAGCTATTTTCCACAAGTAAAATGGAGCATCACTACTAATGAAAGACATGGAAGTATTGTTTGACAACAGGATCTCTTGTTCTTTGTCTGCTGTTAACAGTTGAAATGTAGTTCTTGTATGGAAATTGACCAGTGCTTCCATTGCAAACCCTCATAAGTTTTCCCTTGTTCCTCTTATCTTTTTTTCCTCTCTTTTGTTACCCTCTTACCTATTCCATTCAGTTAGGAGTGTAAAATGGATCTGAAATTGTGAAATTTTAAGGAAATTTTTTTTCAGTTGTGATATATGATATTCAGAAATATACATTCTGAAACAAATTTAAATATAGATTGACTTTTCTTAGTGGTAGTTCAGCCACTGCTGCCTTTTTATCTTAATGTCCCCACTCCCGAATTGTTACCACCAATCATATCATGATCCTCCCCCTTATCATCATCCTGATGTGAATTTTTGGGAAATTGACCATGCACTTAAGTGGAAGTCACTTTAAAAATGTGTTCCATATAAATCTCCCTTTTTTCCTTCTGTTCTTGCTCTTGAAAATTTTTTACAACTATAGTATTATCTGAAATATTTTAAAAACAATAATGTTATCTGAAATTTTCTGTTATGCTGTTTCCTTGTGTGTGTGTGTGTGTGTGTGTGTGTGTGWGAGAGAGAGAGAGAGAGAGAGAGAGAGAGAGAGAGAGAGAGATATTTAATACTTTGTTTTCCTAGCATATCCTTTGTATTTCTTATTTTATCTATAAACTGTATATTAATTTCTTTCTTATTTTTCCCAACTCAAGGCATTTATTGAGGGTCCAGGAAAGAAATTTCTATAGAGTTTATATGAACTTGGTTATTTTTTGTCCTTAATGTCAGAAAGTTTATATTGACTTAAGTGGAAAACTTGATGGATAAATTGTGAATAAATACATAAATACAAAAATGTGTATGTATTGGCTAGTTTACTATTGTTGAAGGCTTGTGTCTTAATTCCTCCAGGAAAGAAAAGAGAGGCTCTCCAAATTTGAATCTATTCGTCATTCAATTGCTGGAATAATTAGGTCTCCAAAATCTGTACTGGGCTCCTCAGCAGTAAGTAGAACTAATTCTGTGTGCTCTAGTCGTTATCTATCTTTTTTCTTTTGTTTGTAAATTTATAGTTATAAATAGAAAAATAAGAGCATAATTTAACTTTTAGTATGCATATGATTCTGTATATATGTCTATACTAAAACATCATATAACATTGAAATTGGGAAGACAATATCAGTGGATCCCCCTTATTTTCAGGGGATACATTCATTACTGTATGTATCCCTACTGGATGTATGAAACTGAGTAGTATCAAACCATGTATATATTTTTTCCTATACATAACTGTCATAAAGTTTAATTTATAATTAGGCACAGTAATAATAATTATAAAATAGAACAATTTTAAGAATATACTATAATAAAGCTATATGAATATATATATGGTCTGTCTCTTTCAAAATATCTTATTGTACTGTACTCGTTTTTCTTTGTGTGACCTTGTAAGATGATTTAATACTATAATTGCTTTTGGGAATCTGAAACTGCAGAAAGTGAAACCATGTATAAAGAAGGGACTACTCTATTAGAGTCTTCCTATACTATAGATGAATGATTATGGGAACATTTTATGTACTTTGGAACCTTACTAGAGGAATAATATCAACAAATTTCTTGTGAAATAATACTTTTATAGCAGGGATTACTGTGCATGTATTTAGAGCATATCAGTTTCAGTGTTCATATTTTTATGAACATTTTGATTATAAAATTAAAGTCTGATATATTAAACATTCAAACCTAGGTCTGGCATGTGACAGAGGTAGTGGGATAGTAGTTATCTCTGGAAAGAGCAATTTGGTCAACCCAGATATGCTGTGAACAAGTACATGGAACTTTTTCTCTAAGGCATTAGCTTCCTATTTGAAGAAGTTTTTCCCCTCAAATATACAAGTAGTTGAGTTATTGAGTTTTAATGTGAATGTGAATATTTCATGTGTTAAGCATGATAATCCAAGATGTATATCAATTCCAAACTACTCAAATTTTAAGTGTAGTTGATTTTGAGTTTTAAATTTAATTAAGTTTTAAATATAATTTATAACTTTTTTTCTTCTCTGCTATTTTTGGGTGTGCTAATATGGTAAAGGCAAAAATAGAAAAAAAAACTTTTGATTATTTTAAATGATATTTTTCTAATTATAAAAGTCTTAGAAAACTTGCTAGATTAGCATGGTTGTTTGTTTATTGTGATATACTTCACATAACACTTATTCACATTTTAAAGAGTACATTTAGTGTTTTTTAGTATATTTTGTAATATGCTATATTTTGTAATCACCAATACCATCTAATATCAGAATATTTTAATCCTCTCAGAAAGATACTGTATACCTGTTAGGAATTTATTTCAATTTCCTCTTGCCTCATCTCCTGACAGTTAGCTATCTGCTTTTGGTCCTCTGGATTCCTATGGGTATGCCTCATGCAACACATGGGCTTTTATATCTGGTTCTTTTCACTTGTTATGTTTTCAAGGCTCATCCATGTTGTAGTGTATGACTTCATTCCATTTTCTGACCAAATAGTATTTCATTAATGGGTTTATCACATTCATCAGTTGATAGAAGTTTGGGTTGTTTCCACTTTTTGGCTATTATCAATGTACAAGTGTTGTTTACATGAAGAGATATTTTTACTTTTCCTGTGTGCATACCTAGGAATGGAATTGCTGAGTCATATGGTAATTATAACTTAAGTTTTTAAGAAACTGTCCAACTGTTTTCCACAGTGGCTACTACTAGCAATGTATGAATGTTCATTTTACATTCCTACTAGCAATGTATGAATGTTCTAATTTCTCCACATTCTTGGCAAAACTTGTTATTTTCTATTTTCCGTCTTTTAAAATATAGGCAACCTAGTGGGCATGTAGTTGTTTATTTGCATTTTCCTAATGACTAATGATATTGAGTGTTTTTCTCATGTACTTACTGTCCACTTGTATATGTACTTTGGATAAACATAGGAAAAGGAAATTGGAGTTAATCATAATAGTATTCTTACTTGAATAAGGTCTTATCTCAATGTTTTTGACAGTGGAGCTACCCTTAAAGACTAATGGAACATTTACATAGGTCTTTATGAAAGGAAGAACATAACATAGATGATAGATAAATTTGGCTTTAACTCTGTGTTTGATGTGATAAATCAAATCTTTAATATTTGTTGTCATTATTAGGGTAGCATTTAAATATGTTATTTTAGCTCCAAACATGTGCTCTTTCATTCATAATACTAAAGGAGTATAAACCATTATCAGTATCTCAGAGCACTGAGACCAACTTCACATGCAGTTCTTCCCATTTTCAGAAGGTTATAGTTTTGCATTGAGAATTCTCAGTGACTGCTTCTAAAGTCAATGTCAGTGCTGTTAGACTATACTGGCTGGCAATCATGAGTGTCCATTTTAACAGAAAGTCATTTAAAACATACTATGTTTAATTGTCCCAGTCATGTCAAGAATACTGCTCTTTTTCCTGGGCCATCCTTTTACTGAGGAATTTCTATGATGAGTGACTGAGCAAACCCCTTGTTTCATCTTACAATCTCTTGTGAATATTGGTTGTTTCACTGGCATGTAGAGTATATAATAGTAGCACTGTACTCTTAAAATCAGATTAAAACACATTTTAGTTCTTTAAACATCAGAAGAAATATTAAATTATGCAACTGTCTTCTTAAAATTCATTTTTTCTATTCTCTAGCATAAATAAGATTTGCTTGCTTACTTTTCAGAAAATTATAATTCAGCTAAGTTTAAGTTGTATATCAGATTATGTTGTATAATAATACTTGGCTTCCACCACTGACAGAGGAATGTGATTATTTTCATGTGTAGCACAAGACACTTGTATTTTTCAGCATTCACCTTTGAGTCTAGCAGAATAACCTGTGCTTCCTCTATCAAGACATATTAGATTCAAGTTAAATATTATATATTTTATACCTTAGTTGTCTTGTATTGTTTATAAGGTCTTCATTAATTCCCCCATCATTAAAATGTAAAGAAGTAAATAACAAAGAAAATAGTGTTTTTGCTCCCATAACCAGATTCTCCTGTATAAGTTAGTCATGTTTATGAAAGTTTATTCTCTGAATTATGAATTATGAATCACTTGCATTAACATATGCAATTTTCAAGAAGGACTTTTTGGGATATTTCCAATATTTTTACTGTGATAGATCAAATATGTTCTTGTATGTGTTTGCTCAAATGTTTAAAGTAATTTGCACAGATCATGTTAGACTGATACTATGTTCCACACAGGCAATTCCAACTTGAAGATAAATGTTTAAATTTACTGAAATATGATTGCATACTGATTCATTGCAATGATCTGCTAATAGTTTAAGTTAAAATGTATAATACAAAATTAGCACTGAATTCAGCTATTTGATGAAAATGTGTTGATATTGTGGCATATTTTTTACATAAAATATTTGAGCTTAAAGAAAAAATACTTGATCCTTAAAAAATAAGACTAGCAAAAATATTACAAAATGATAAAAATGACAGAGAATGAATGAGAGTCACAAGCACATTCATAAAAAGTAAGTGCACAAAATTAATAAAAAGAGAAAAGAAAGTAATTACTGATAAAGAGAAGATGGTAAGTAAAGACGCTAAGTTGGAAAAAAGAGATATCAGAGGAAATCCAAAAGATATTGAAAAAAACAGACCTGTTACTCCATAAATGAATTTAAGAAAAATATATTTTGGTAAACAAAAAGGCAATACAGGAAGCAAGTTGTGGGAGTAAAGTAATTATGAGTTTGGCTTAGTTGTCTCTCTTTGTTTAATAAAGTTTCAGAAATATTTGTATTTGAATGCTAATTTAGAGTTCTGTGTAATTCTTTATAGTCACCATTCTAGGGAACAGTGTTATTATTAGCTTACAACTAAACAAACTCAAAATCTTGGGTATTAAAAATTGTTAATTAAGAAATTTATGAAGAAGAGTTTTGTTGTTAGTTTCATTGTAGGAAGTAAACATTAGATAAAATATCTTTGCTTTGGTTAATAATCTCAGCACAGAAAAATTTGTTAATTCTATTTTTTATTGCTAATAAAACCTGGAATGTGTTGAATTACAGTCCTTAGTGCCAATCAAGACAGAACCACTTTCCAATTAATTTTCATCCCATTTGGCCTGAATGCAGATGACCCTGAAGACCAAATATTTGTATTAAATTTTTTTTTCATTTTCTTAAAGTAGTAAATAAATTCAAACTATTTAGAAATTTGGGGGAAAACTGGGAGGAAGAACATTATTTCTTTTGTTTTTATTTTATATAAATTTAACAGTTTGTTTTGAACTGTCAGACTCTAAATCATATACTTCTCCTAACTGTGGTTATATTTCCCCTTCTCTGAAAATAATTTTCTCTACCATCTTGCATGTTCCTATTCAATAGGCCAGGTGTTTTTCACCTTTGATGATTCTCTTACTTCAATTTTATGACATTTGATTCTTCATCCTGTCCTAAAATTCTCAAGTTATATAGTGCTTTAAAATTAAAGGGGTCTTATGGAATTTTTGAGAAGTGTTTGGAATTCTACGAGTCAATTGTATATCAGAATATTACTAAACTAGATTTGGAGTAATTTATTATTTATATATGAAGTTAATTAAATTCGTACAAGAATAGAAAAGAGAATTGTGTCATTTTGTGGTTATTCAAAATACATTAAAGATTTTTAAAATGTGCTGATATTTTATTCAATTTGTTGAAGCTTGGTAAGAGATATACTTATATATTTTTCATGCTGTTTTATTCTAGTTTTTATTTTTTCTAATGGTTTATTTGGGTACTTAATTTTAATGTACAAACAGACTTTTTAAAATACTTTTGTTTGTGCCTCTCAAAAAACAGTTCATCTTATCATGAGATAAAGGCATACGAATTTTTATTACATACTTGACATCTAGCCTGAACTATGATAAGGAGAAAAGATGACCTACCTTTTCCCCTGGGAGGAAAAAAACCCAAAAAAC